ATTATACTAGGTGTACTACGTTTTCTCTCGAGATTATATTTTTTTATTTAGTCTACAAGATCAATACTTGGAAGTCGGAAAAAATTCTGGTTAGAAATATTTTTGCTTCATAATCTATTATTCCAAGTACTATACATATTAATTGTAATTTAAGTTATTTTATTATTATAATTAGACTTTTATGTCTTATACAGCCATAATGTGATCATAAAAATAAGAAAAATAAGGACGATATTACTAAGATATGACAGATATACAGGTAACTGTTATGAACTAAGGTTTACATGTAGTATAGCCATGATAAAATAATACATATAATGACAATAATATTATGTCATTGTGTATGCTATGTATGGCAAGTATGTATTCGCTTATACGCGTCAATACTTGTGTTAGGTTAGTTAGGTAGTTTTTGATGTTTACCAAAAAATTTAGGGTTCATATAATTTTAAATTGCCGAAAATATGTAAAATATGTGGTCGAAGAAATTATTCTAAAACAAAGTATTGAATTGAAAAATATCCAGAACTTAAATCAGACGGTTGAATGATTTTTTGCTCGTCGCACAATAAATCCTTTGGTTGTGAAAGTAAATCACAAGTTGATATGCCAGAGCATATTTTAACGTTCTAATTGTTGTATAATATGTATGTGGCATTAGTGGCCTCCAGTGGATGCTACCCAGTGGAATGGGTGATCGTCACTGACCAACACATTCTCATAACAACCGATATAAATGTTAATTTAATGAAAATTATTGTATATATCTACCTACATTGGCGTAACAGGGAAAAAATCTAGGGGGGCAATATAATATATTTATTTTACCAAAACCCTGACTCCCCCTTACCTGTTAAAACATATTTTTATTGTATGTATTTTATACATTATATCTAATTATTTGATTTTTTAACTGAGTCTTTTAACTCATTTTATGGTTTAGATAAACATAAATTGTAGGTAGCAGGTACTAGGTATTGTTAACCAATATTGTTAAATAATAAGTTCATTTATAAATGGTGGTATTTGTACTGTTGGATTATTTGGGGGGGGGGGCAAAATTATATCTCTTATAAATTTGTCAAAGGGGGCACTTCCCCTTTCCCCCCACAATTACGCCACTGCCTACCTATCTATATCTATATCTATATCTATATCTACATCTACATCTATATCTACACCTATATCTATATCTATATCTACATCTACATCTATATCTACACCTATATCTACATCTATATCCCATATCTATATCCCATATCTACATCCCATATCTATATCCCATATCTATATCCCATATCTATATCTATATCCCATATCTATATCCCATATCCCATATCTATATCCCATATCTATATCCCATATCTATATCCCATATCCCATATCTATATCCCATATCTACATCCCATATCTATATCCCATATCTATATCCCATATCTACATCCCATATCTATATCCCATATCTACATCCCATATCTATATCCCATATCTACATCCCATATCTATATCCCATATCTATATCCCATATCTATATCCCATATCCCATATCCCATATCCCATATACCTTTTTTGTATGTACGCATGCGCGTCTAACCTAAGTTAACTCTTTTGGTAAAACAGTTTTACAGTACAGTACAGTTTAATAGTTCAATAGGTTAGATTCAGGGAAGGTCAATTATACAATTTATTCGTATAATTTAATTAATAAAATCAAAAAATTATTTGTTCCATACGTAATAAAAATACATTAATGGGTCATTAATACAGTCTTATTTTCTGGAGATTTTCGTCAAATCTTGCCAGTTGTAGTAAGAGGAACGAGAGCTGATGAAGTCAAAATGCATCATTAAAGAGATCTTACATTTGGCCAGACATTTTTAATTTAAATTAATTTAATTTAGTTAAATTGAAACTTAAAACTAATATGAGAATATTATCATCTGATAAATAAAACTTTTGCTGATGCTTTACTCCGTGTTGGTAATGGTCAGTCACTGACTAGAAATGATAAAATTGATCTGTCTGAGCTTTGTTTTTTGATGTCTAATTTTATGGACCTAATTGAAAATGTTTACCCAGATTTACCTAATATTTCGACTAAAACGACAAGTTGGTTTCAAGAAAGAGCAATATTGTCACCAACTAACGTTCAAGTCAATAAAATAAATGACATGATACTGTTAAAATTCAACGCACCAACAAAAGTTTACTATTCCATTGACACTGTTTTAGATGCAGAGGAGGCGATACCATTATCCAACTGAATTTTTAAATTCTTTATCACCTTCAGGGACCCCACCACACAAATTAAGTCTAAAAATAGGGTCTCCTATAATTTTACTTCGTAACTTAAGTCCACCTAAATTATGCAACGGTACAAGATTACAAATAAAGTCTTTAAAAAACTGTCTGCTTGAGTGTATAATCCTTACTGGCTGCGGAGCTGGGGAAATGGTCTTGGTTCCTAGAATACCAATGATACCAACCAATTTGCCATTTCAGTTCAAACGGCACCAATTTCCCGTGAAATTAAGCTTTGCAATGACTATTAATAAGGCACAAGGTCAAACATTAAACGTTGCAGGTTTAGACTTAACCGTCCAGTGTTTTTCCCATGGTCAATTGTACGTAGCTCTGTCACGTGTCACATGCAAACAAAATCTATTTGTGATGGCCCCAGAAGGTGAGACACTTAACGTGGTGTATCCAGAAATATTTAATACTTAAGACAAATTGATATAATTAACAAAAAAAATAAAAATCATACATCATACATCATAACGAAACAAACATATTCCACACGTATATAAAACAAATTAATCAAATTAAATATCTGATATAATTCATATCAAACTTTTCACATATTCCTAAACATATATAAATGTACTGAAATCTAGCAATAGCAAAGCATTGCCGGGTCAATATATATAACTTAAATTATGTATTATTATTTAGTTTAACTGGTAATAGACATTATTCGTCGATAGTAATTATTTTTATAGTGTTTTTTAATTCCAATGTTATGACATTTAGTTTTCTTTTTGAGGAGAGAAAGTGGAGAAGGGGGATTGTTATGTAGCCTAACAAAAAAAATTCAACCAAATCTGCCACTAGGTATCATATTAGACTAAGAGTTGAGAAGTTTTTTACTACGCCAGCTATATTTTTTATCAGCTTTTCTTTAAGGACCGCATACAAAATGAAAATTAACGTTATTAAAAATATAATTTTAACATACTCGTATAATATTAAATTATTTATGGATAGCAACAATAATATTATAAGTTTCACATTGGAAGATTGACCGTATTAACTAATTTTGAATTTGAAAGGGAAATTTAAAAAAATTTAATAAATTAATAAAATTCTTGAGTGTGAAAAAATATAAAAATGTAGTTTTTAATTTGATTTTTAAGGTTAAATTTTTCCCGCCATTTCGTTTACATTCGCTTTCACATAAGATGTTAATGTATATAAAACTGCATTTACGTATTTGTTGCTTAATCGTGAACAATATTCATTTTTTCAAAATTTAAGTATTGACAATGCGTTATAAGTTCATAGCTAATATTCGTAATAGTATAATAGTTACGATATTATTTTACTTATTACAATTTAAGATATAAAATTTAAATATTAATGTGGTGATGTTCAACCTCTTTTCCTCGTTGGGCCACTTTGGTAAACAATTATCTTCTAAAGGGTCATCAAATATAAAAGTACGAATAATTTCAACATTAATCGTATAATATAAATTTGATACACATAGTAGGTATGCATTATACATGTGGGTACATATTTTAATTTATACCATGTGGCCACGGGTTGAGTATCACTGGCTTAGAGGAATTTTGTATTTTAGTCGTTTATTAATTACCAAATGAATTAAGTAAAAGAAGCTACAGTTAAATTAGATACTTTTGTACTGTTCTTTTAAATTACTGATGATAGAAGGACCAAATGTCTCAATAACATAGGTTGAATTTTAATGTTCTAATTTTCACAGTAAAAAAGTTATCTATAATTTAGAAAAATCGAAAATTTCACGTGCCTATAAACAGCACTAATTTCAATTAAGTAATTCATAACCTTGAAACGACTTTAACTAATTAATTATTGTCGTTTAATGAAAATTAATTGAAACATAAAATTTCGTCAAAATTAAATTTTGTAACGTTAATATTAAAAACTATGCTTTTTTAAAAACAAAATTCGTTTCGTTATTCATAAGATTTCAATTTGTTTTTTCGTAGAATTTATATGTGTATGTGGTGTGTAAGTTCTACCATATTTTTGGTGTTTTAAGATTTTTATAATTCCTTTCAGATTTTGGGGGAATTAAGATATTGGTTTTATCATGAAGTGTGGTTTTCTATTTGTCTGTGTTCACCAAAATAAAACATTTGAGCTTAATTTCAATAAATTGTTTTCGAGAATTTAAATATTACATTTTGACATAATGATATGAATCACGAAAATCCGTCACATTTTCGTAGTCAAAAATGCATAACATTTTCAAAGTTTATACTAAATACAAATATTTTTAACCACCCAAGAATAAATCATTTTACGTTAAATTGTAACCTGAAAAAATTACCTAGTCTAACGAAATATCTTTATGCGTCTCCGATCATTTTATAATTAGGAAAAATATTGATGACTGGACAATAAATAATTAAATAATATTAATTTTAATATTTATATAAAATTTATTAAATCCGTTTAACAAAAATAATAAAAATCAAAACTAAAAATCAAACAGTTCCAAAAATTATTGTTTACAAATTTTTAATGCCTAGCATTGAATTGTCACCTAATGGTTATCATACCATTATTTCTACAAAATTTTCTAACAACTTATGATTTACGAGTTATTTTTCACTATAAAATAATAATTTTATTACAATCGTTTTGTCCTTATCGCAACCGCCATCTAGGTATGTGTTAGGTAACTGATATTTTTCTACGTTGATAAAATGATAACAGATTGTTCAGGGAACTCAAGTTAAATAAGAAATGTATGGAATGAGTACTCAAAAGGATTCTTTTCTTTTTGTCTAAAATACAATATTGTGAACTGGGATAGCTTAAGTAAGTACCCTACGTGTTGTACGTTTTGTGTACTCCATTTAGGTCTATGTGAAGACAACTCATATATTTTTAAACATGATTTGGTTAAAGCTCTTTATCATGGATTTGGTGTAAAAATATTTTTGATTTTTTTTTTTGTTAATGGATTGAATTATTATGTAAATCAGTAATTTATGAGATTGAAAACCAAATAAATAGTCAAGGTGAACAAATAATATATTTAACAGTACATATTACTGTGTAAATTAATATTCTACAAGTGTGCAAAGTTCAAATCAATGTAAGTCTGCCGCTATAACTGGTTTATGATTATTTTATTTAATTCATTTTTTTCCATTTTACAGTGAAAAATGGACTGGCTTGGTTGAATACATTGATTATGTTATTGACAACTATGGATAGGTATCAACTACATGTAAGTGGAAATATTTTATATGTATATATATATATGATATATATAAAATATATTTCTGCTGAAGTAAATTGATTATAAATAATAATAATAGTGTAATACAGTTACTTATCAATTTCTTATGATTAATAGCTATACCTTTAAATCATAATGTTTTTGTCATAAGATTGACATTGATGTTCTTAAAGTTAGAATGCATTTAATTTGCTTTAAATAATCTGATGTTATCATAATATATTGTATTTGGAAATTATTTTTTTCAATTAAATTATTTTACTTAGATATATTTTATTTTATTTAACCATTATTTGTAATTTTCTTGTTGAGTCTGATATTAAAGGATAATAATCTATGGTTAATACTATGGTTATTTATAGACTAATAAATAAATATTATAACATGAATATAATTTAAAATAAATAAATAACTTATTGAAATCTCATAATGGTAACATTTTCTGTGATGAATATTGTATTCAGTGTTTTGTATTTATTAGAAATTAAAAATGATAGTATAATAAACACACATTTTTTAGTTACATATTTTATTTGTATATATTTTCCATTTTAAATATTAAGAAATGGTTAACTTCAGTTAACTTTATATCTATCTTTGAAAATGATTTATGTTTTAATTTTTTTGAACTGATTAAAAATATAATGTCCACTACGATAAAATTGATGAGGCAGATATTTGTTAAAACATAATGATTAACAACTATTATGGTTTGGAACTTTATATAATTGAATATTTATTTTTGTAACACTTATTTGAAATCTGGATAGATAATAGTTCAACAATAAACTCCTTGCTTAAAAATAAGTAATTTAAATTGTTTAATTTTTAAAAGTATTTCATTTGATGAAATAACACAGTGAAGCTGTTTCAGCCGCAAAAAATAATCTAGATATTTGATTTAGACTCTTAGGATTTTCTATAATCTTAAAATTGTTTACCAAATTATAAAATGTTGAAAAATAGTGTTCGATAATTTTAAAACAATTTTCTGTCATTATAGATGATTGTAATTTTAAATATGAGAAAACAGCATCCAAGTAAAATATGTTGTATATATTTTATTTTTATTGAATTACTAAGGCTTCAACATCTGATGTCATTAGCCAAATATGTTAAGATACTTAACTTAAAAATTATGTGGTTGAACATTTGATGGTATTGGTGGTATTGATTAATAACTTGTCTTAAATTGTTTGTGATAAACATGTCTGTGAAAAACTTTAAAATGTTTCCTGAGTTTTCCTCTCAAAAAGCTTGTTTCATCGTGAGTGGGTTTCCTTAAATTTGTTTAGAGCTGTTAAACTTAGGGTATTCTAGTAAAATGTGTTTGATGATAATTTTTTTTATTACATAGTTTGCTGGTTGGAGGTTCTTAATTTTTAAAGATGTATATGTGTTAAAAGAAAATGTCCAATTCAGGTTCTTATAATTTATACTTCTTTGTATTTAGTTGTGAGAGGAGGGGATTTTCATGGGGTGATTGATGTTCCGATTTTTCTAAGTTTATTTATATTTGGTGTCTCTCCCAATTATTTCGCCTGTATTTTTTTTGTTGTATCAATAATATTTTTTTGGGCATTTTGAAATGTTACTTTATTAATATAAAGCTATAGGGTAAGGGTTTTTTAGAGTCACTTAAAATGAGTATATGCACCGACACCAAGTTAACTGTGTGTGACATTGATTTTTCGATGGCTTGGCTTCGGCCGAGAGATATTTTTATTATATAGTTGATATTGATATATTTATTTAAATGTTAAATACTTTGTAAATATTTTATCCATAATTCTGATTATGTTCTAATTAAATTAAACTAATTTTCTTTTTATAAACATTAATTTTTTCTCTTAATTTAGTATTATTAAACTATTGATTAAAATATTTACATATTAATATTTTATTACATTATTATTTCTGCATCATAACAATTTGTCTTATTATATAATATTTATGATATTCATTTTATAATAATTTTTTTTAGCTTGAATTCATTAGTAAGGAAGACTCATATGTACCTTGTACAAACATCTTTGTGATCATCAAACTCATATATATTTAAAATAGTGTAGTACAAAGCATTATGGTCTAAATGTTGCTTGTAACTTATTCAATGAACTAAAAGACTTGGAAATAGTTTGTAGTGATTGTTATGTAGGCTTGTCATGGATTGTATATGCTTATAAATTAACATTGAATGTAAGGAAATTAATTTTAATGTAGATACTTCTAAGAAATTCTTGAATTAGTTTCATAAATTGATTATAAATTATTCTTTATTGCATTAAATTTATTTTGAATTTAAAATATAGACGCCAGTTACTGAAAAGAAGAATTTGTACAACTTTAATATGTTTGGAATCATATTTAATACTATGGGTATGACAACTAGACTTCAAATCTTGAAGGCACTACATAATGAATCCACATTTCCCAACATTCCATATAACAAGTATTTATATTATACCATTATTATATTCCCAATACCAGTGTTAGAAAAAAAATTCACATATTCTATTTTGTATTATAATATTTTATAATATTAAAATTTAAAGTGTCAAACAATTTGTTATTGATATTACCAAATATGTTCAATATTTCATCTGGAACAGTGTCATTAATTATAGATATATTTAATTTAAAACTACACGGAGCATGGGGGTTTTTCAAATAAGTTGGTGGTGCTTAAGCATCCCTTAGTACTCCTATAATTGTACCATTGACACAATGAATTCTATGGCAAATGAGTATAAAAATCGTTTTTCTGAATTCGAGTTAATTTTATGTATGAATACCTTTAACCATTATGTAATATTGTATCAGTATCATTCTTACCTGATTATCTTTCCAAGAAATATGTAAATTAGATAATTGTAATAATCAATGATGATTAAAGTTCTTCTATAGAAAGAAGTGAGTTTTTTTAAAGTATCTTTTCATTACTATTATATTTTTATAATTATGTTATTATGTATTATGAAATAATTAAAACTGATGTTAAAAATATTAAGGAAGACTAATATAAATATGTCTAGTTTATTTTAACCAAATTTACACGTTGAGTCACATAATAATTTATGTTTATTATTAAATATAAATAAATTGTTGTGTATGGGTATATTGAAAAATATTTTACTACATGCAAAGGACAGTAATGCATTTTACTCCAAAGAAATATACTTATATATGAAGTAGTAATTGTATTAGTATTAACATTAATAACTATTCATTAAATGATTTGTACATTTAATCTCTATTCGGTGTAACCTGTGTCCACATAACCCTCAAGTGCATCGATGTTCTCTTTCTCATCGTCGTTATTTTTTCTGTCGAATATGTCTGAACAAGCATAACACACGCCCACGTCTTTCCAACACTGTTCACAATGCACGTACAAGCAATCGACGGTGTTACAACCATATTGCTTACCTGCTCTGGTTTCCGGTTCGCCGCAAATCAGGCATTTCCGACGCGCACACGCACACCATATCAACCAACCAAACAGCTTTGGGAACTTGAGTCTAAGTATTAGGCATACGTTGAGGTCTTCCTGTTGAAGAGTAAAAGAAAAAAAAAAACTTGTGTAAAACTTTTGTGCGGCTATGGTGAACTTTTCCGATTGTATGGTGAACTCTTGATTTTTAGACTAGTTAACTCGTTTTAAGGTGTGCTCTGTAATAACTTTGTTTGTACCTTATAGTTCATAATAATATAATTCATATTACAAACAATTATAAATTTGATATACCAAAAAATAGATTTATATAATTTTTTTTTTATTATTATCTACCACGACTTAAAATGATACTTAAATATTTTTTTTTTTGTAATTTGTATGTTTATAATATAATTATTAATATTAAATACGAGCAGAGCCGTGCTAAGGATTTTTAGGGCCTGGGGTAAATTAATTTGAGAGTCCCTCAATCATATATTATATCAGTATGATAAAATAATATACACTAAGTTTTCAAAATGTTGGCAAATATAGTTCAAACTTCAACCAATCAAGGTCATTTAAATGTATCGACACAATGAATTATATTTTTAATAATTTCTCATCAATATACTTTAAGAGACCCCTTTACACTTTTCAAACTGGAGTCTGAGAAAAAATGCCCTCCCTCTGGTAATTGTCCTGCATATGAGTTTATATTAGTTAAATTAATTAATTAAATTTAATGAAATATTTTAATTTTATTATTATTGCTATTATTATTAATGGAAAATTGTAATACATAATAATGTTATAAAATAAGACAAAAATTAGTAAATTAATGTATGAAAATAAATATAAAAATAAATAAATATTTATACCTGAAGTATTATTATATTCGTAATGTACGACTGGTTGCGAATTAAAAATACATCATCTTATATATACAATGTCAATAAAATGAATAGTCAATTGTAATAGGTATTCAAACAAAGTTGTTACAGAATTGGGACAGTTTAGATATACCTTTTAGGTAGTTCTGAAGTAGGCTCGGGAGATTTTACTAATTGGAGCATTTTACAAGTCATTGAAATCGGTAGAATTTACTATTGCCCTTTTTTTGGGTGGTGAAGAAGGGGTGCTAGTGGACCAGCTGACCGTTAATTTGTTCTCTCGTGCCAGCTTCTCGACCTTCCGGCGCATGTATCGGAAGAAAGCCGATCGCTTCCTGAGTGTCTCGTTGTATAGGTACAAAACGCGTCGCTTCTCCCGTTTCCGGAAGAATATCGCACAGATTAACCGTTTTAACCGTCCTGTGTATCCAGCGAATGCGGTCATCACGAACACTAACAGAAATGTACCGTATATCTTGTTCACGTAGTACGTTTCTAACTTGTGCGGATTCGGCAGGCACACTGTAAAATTCGATATCCGATTAATAAGAGTACGCCTACGTTATTATTTTATTTTTAACTCCTCGTTGTTTTCATTTCTTTCGTAGTTGGAGATAAATGGAAAAAAATCCGTAGTTGAAAAAAAAATCTTTACATTAAAAAAAAAAAAAAATTATTTTTGATGTTAGAAATCTGTTGAAATTAAATAAACACAAATTGATGAAGTTTTACAGTAGAGCGGTTTCCTTCTTGAGTTCATAAATCCTATTTGGTCAAAATTGTGTAGACAAACAAGAAAAAACACATCATGGTAAAACTAATATATTCCTAGTTACATTTAGCATCTATTTAAACCAAAATATTATAAAATATTTCTAGGAGGAATCACTGATGATATTATTAATATTGTTGTTCGCAATAATCGTATATCAAATTATGTGCCCTGATTCCCAAATGAAAATAATTACGTCCTAGATTAATTACGTCCCCTCCCAAGATAACATTTGTGGGTTCATTCATTGGTTCTGTCTCCTGTGATACTGTTCTACGCATAGATATTTTAAAATGGTTAAGAGCGTTAAGCAGTCACCAGTACAATTTTATTGGTAACGCAATGGCGTCTGTATTCAAATGTATGAGCATTAATTTACTTTAGTTAAAATAAATACATGGAAAAGATAAATAATTGGCTCAATTTAGGATAGTAATTTTTTGGTGATATGTAGTATGACGGTTACTTACTTTCGTTGCTAAGATTGACGGTGATGTTTTTTCTGAAATTAAATTTGGATACTACAGACCTGAACAGGTTAGCGATCATACCAGTGCCTTTGACATTGATGCTCATGTTGTGGTGGCCGGTCTGAAAGTAATCGATCTTCGCGTGTCTTCTGATTACGTCCAAAGCCTCGTAGAACACAATGTCCAGCAAGACCAGCGAGGAAACGGCGAATATCTCAAACGTCATTTTCACCAGCGATTTGAACTGAATAGTAGTGAAAACATTTTGTTGTTATTAATTTTATTAATAGTTATTATTATTTAAGTTGTAATATATAGTTCATACTAAATATATTTTCTAATTGTATACCAAAGATCGAGGGAAAATGCTATACGCTTATTTGCTTTGCGCACAAAACGTTTATCATATTAAATTGTACTTATTCGGTTACATGTGTAAGATGAATATATATATATATATATATATAATTTAGTCTGTTTATGAGGACCCTGCGGCAAGAGCCCTTAATCCCATCGTATACGCAGTTCGCTTTAATGGTCGATATATTTTTTCGGACAATAAAATGTAGCGTTACATTTGTTCGAGGACTCAGCTGTAACGTGTGCGGTAATGACCATGTTTTATGTACAAATCGATTTCGAATACACTTCGTTTCGTACACAGTACAACACATAGACACACACGAGTGCCCATAAACAAATTATCTGAGCATAGCAAAAAAAAAATGAATATATACAATATATAATACTATCCATACATGAATTCGTTTAAACACTTATAGGTACTATTAAATTGTTACGTTTTACTATTTTTTATTTTTTTCTGTTTGGAATTTATTTTAATGATATATTTTATTTATTAAAAACTTAACAAGTACTACTGTGAGTGCTATTTGAGCTCATAATTTGTAATTATTTTATTGATTACAAATTACAATACTAAAATTATTACAAATTTAAATTTTACGAAAAATAATATAAAACGCATACAATTAAATGGTTTATAAGTTTAATATAATTTTAAAATAGTTAAATGTTTATATAGTACTGCCTGAGGAGATTACAACAGTTTATTCATGATCCATTTCATTATATTCATATGAGTATATATGTATTTTATTTTCGTTTTTACGGAAAATATTTAATTTCAAAATCTTTAAATTCATGAAAGTATTAACCAAAAATATTTTTTATGAAATAGTTAATATACGATTTGGTATATAATTAATAATTCAGTTATGAATTAAAATATTTTAGTAATTGGCTATTTGGATAAACTTATATTAATTAGTAATGAAACAAATTACCCTATATTTGATGATTTTATTCAAGGGAAACTCAGTTTATTACCATTTAATAGATTAGTTTAAAAAAAAATTATTTGTTGTTGAAAATGTAAATGTATGTACCTTTAAAGTATTGTACTTCGTTTTAGTGGTTGTAAATGTTCATATAGTGAGTAGATTAAAATTTTACAGGACTTAGTACGTACGTCTTTCGTGTGGTTTAATATTCTTATTTTGTTTTATTGTTTGTTTGTTTTTGTTCAAAGGCCACCATATTACAGCAATCATAATGTCCTTTTAGTACTGTCTCTCAGTCTGAATTTAACAGGCTTTTAATATAAATTCAGTTTACAACGATCGTTTTTGAACACAACTACATTGTGTTTTTATGTTTGGGTATTATTTTCTTACATTATTACTTGTGATACGGTGTAGTTTTTCAATTTCAGCAATCTTCTTCGGATGGTCTTGGAAAATGTAGTTAAAAGTATGTTTTTAATAAAAACTTTTAGGAATCGAAACGGAAATAATTTCAAAAACGAACCAACTATTTTCCTCAGTGGGTATGATTGTGAATGTAAATCAAATTCTTTTCGAATTTCTACTTTTAATCAATAAAAAAAATTTCGATTTAGTGTGTTATACGATATGTTTATTAACTAGACAAATCATTTTTAGTGGGTAAATCTGTACCGCAACACGGTAATATGACTGAGAAACTATTTAAACATCTAAAAAGAATTACAATTTTCATTCCATAAACTGCTTAAAATAAATAAATTGTTTTATGATTTCACTATTCCAGGGCTTAATTAGTACATTACTCGAAGAAGTATTAAGTGTCAGTTACGTAACTATGGGAGAAAGACCATCAGAATTGTAGAGGCAACTGGAAAAAGAAACAAGAGGTTTGATGTGGTACTTACTAGATAGTCACATTCACGATCCACCAATCTATAGCTTCTCAAGTCGATTGTTTTAGTTTTCTCAATTTTCTTGAGTGGAAGTAGTGTATGTTTACCGTTCCTTTTACGCCGAGCATCGATTTTTCGATAATACCGGGTCACATATGCATTGTCGTGTTCGATGTTGGTTAAATATTTATGCATGTAACTCTGACTGCTGCAAATTAAAAAATATATACAAAAGATATATGATAACTTGATTCTATCAGAAAAATAAAAAAATACCATTCATTTCGCACTTACTCTAAGAGGATTTTAAGAAACGAAAAGGCCAAAAGACGACGTATGCACAACAACAAAAATTCGGCCTTCTGTCTTTTTTCTCGGAAATCCATCATCATTTCTTTGGTTGAGTTGTAAACATCACGGTATTGATCGGGCTTTAGCGAAAAAACCAATCAACTAAGGTTATTATTTTTATTAATGCAGGGGATAATGAATCATCAGTTTATTAACGCATGAACATCTCTTCTTCCATTTTCTCCCACTCGCACGGCTGGATCACCGTTATAATATGTCAAAATATCTCAGTAGCACATGTGGAAATAAAATCTCATAGCACTATATATATGTATACACGGTGTTCTTGAAATGGTTGAGCAAACTTGTATACGTGTACTCTCTGGTATGGTCAAATGAAGAATGTTTTGAAATTTTTTTTTCATCTTCAAACCCAGGGTTTTATCTAATTATCTTTAGAACATATTTTGAATCCAAATTAAATAAATATCTGTAAGATATTTCTTACAAATTACTTACGTAAATCAGTATGTGACATCGATTTTGGAGTTGTTGCAAATTTTTTCATGCCCGAGTCACCAGGATCAAAATATGTGGTGTGACATATCGATTTGTATGAGAACTCTGCAAGATAAATAAAGGTGAAAATTATTTGTTGTTATTTTACATATCTGATTAATTAAAACGGTTTTTTATTTTTTTTTTAATTTCAAATAAATTTTATTTAATTATGATTCATTTACAATAAAAACTATGTTTATTAATCAGATATGTGAAATAATAACAAATAGATTTCACTTTTGTTTATCTTGCAGAATTTTTTTACAAATCGATATGTCACACCACATCTTTTGATCCTGGCTACTCGAGTGTGAATAATGTGTGACAAGTCCAAAATCGATGTTACATATCGATTTACGTGAGTAATTTGTAAGAAATATCTTACAAGTATTATTATTATTTAATTTAGATTCGAAAAAATGTTCTAAAGATAATTAGATAAAATCCAGATTTTGAAGACAGAAAAAAAATTTCAAAATTTTCATTCGGCCACTTCAGAGTACGCGTATACCCAGGGACGTATTTAGGAGGTGGGCGAGCGTGTACCATCGCCCCGGGTGGCAAATTTTTTTGGAATTGAAGGGTGGCAGCATTTTTTTTGTAACCATAATCCATTTATTTTTATTCGTCAATCGAAAAATTTTAATATTTTAAGATTTTGCAAAGTGACCTATGGCAATTTTTATTTTCATTATTATATTATCAAAAATTGATCACATAAAATTTATAGATAATAAATATTACCTTTCTTGAAAATCATATAAAACATAATAAGTTTTATGCATATTATGTAGGGGTGGCAATAAAACTACCTGGGGTGTCAAAACTCTAAATACATTTTTGCGTATACCAGTTTTCTCGACTATCTTATAAACACCCTCTATAAATATATGTATATGAAGTACCACGATATATATATATATATACCATATAGTATATCGATTTTTTTAGTTTGTTTTGATCTCTAGGAAATTTTAAATTGCATGTTTGTTCATGTTCCTATACAATATAAATACGTATGCTCAAACGATGTATTTGTCAATCATTTTCGTATTTCGAAAGGTTTTGATTTCTATACAAGCGTTTACAGTCACACGTAACCGCATTACCAGTGTATATGGGACTTGTGATGATTATGTTATCGATGACCCGCAAGTTCTGTATACACAGGAAAAGAAGCCATACTAAATTACTGAAGAACAATGATGATCTTAAACAGTCGACTACTATAAGTGAGCATAATTAATTAGTTTTCATGATGTTTGTGAATATAATTACTTCCCAAATAGTATTGTATTATATGGTCAAGGATAATAAATTTAAATAGACTGAAAAATAAAAACATAAAAGCTATGTTTTAAGACTTGTCACGTTTAACAGCCTAGAGCGAAATTCCGTTTTAAACTGTAGCTTTTAAACTACATTAAAATTATTTTAGCAATAAAATCAAATGAGTAAAAATTGGTGTTATTATTATTAGAAACTGCATTAAATGTTTGAGAATAAAAGCAAAAATGATTTATAAATCATAAAATAGGTTCAATCCAGTTCAATATAATGGTGCATTATATCTTCTACAATTCACCCATCGGTATATCACTGCACAATGTAAAGAAATTTGTTATTTTGATGACATTCAATACATAAGACATTTATTGTTGGGTTATTGTATAAATATATATTAAATTCTGATAAAGACTAATATAATAAGAAACAAGCTTATTTAAATAATATTTTATGTGACTCGTATGTTAAATAGGTATACAATAATTTATCACCTCAGAGGACAATTATTGTCTAATTATTATCTATAACATTTTTAAATTCACTCGAAATGAAAAAATAACAAAGTAAAATTACAAAATAAATATTATATTTTTGTTCTCATTTAATACAGAAAATATTTTTATACTTGGAAAGTATAAAATAGAACTAGAATAACTCGAAAAATATTGAATTTTGTATTAAAATCTACAGTTTGATAATTGTTATTATTTGGTTAATTTTTAAATGTATTATCTTTTTTGGAACAAGTACAAAATTATAAATTTCCGTAAAATACGAGTACAATATTAAAGTGATCGAGCCATTTATACCGTGTGAATATTCATTGAATTCAGAATTAATAAAAATCTTAATACTTATAGAAATAAATATTTTTTTTTTCAACTGTAAATATTTTCAAAAAGTTTAAACGAAGCGAACAAATGGATAAATAATCTCTTTACCTTTGTCGATTTGAAAAAGTCATTAATATTTTACATGCTATCAAATATTAAAACAATCCTAGTTAATTTGTATTAATCTGGATTGTCAGTGAAATTGAAAAACAACCCTTTTAAAATAATATTGATACTGTTATTTATCGTGAAATTAAAAATATTGAAATAAATTTATACGCAAAACATCATTAGATTAAGTTGGTAATATCCAGGGCTGTCGAGAGGGTGGGACAGGGAGGGCTAGAGCCTCGGGGCACGTCGTTTATACAATATTTTTATTGAACTAAAATATGTACAAATAGTATGTATATCTTAGTCAATTAAGTGCAAGTAAAGGGGGCCCTGGGCTTCAAAAGTTCTCGCTAGCCCTGGTAATATCAATAAAATGTGTATAGTGAATAAAATTACAGAATAACCATAAATACATGTATATTACCATTATTTTTATTTTGTTTATTTTGTAATTAACTTTAACTTGCATAAATTCTCGTGTCAACTCTTCTTTTGATTTCGTTAAATATATGTATCCTTTACCGAAACCAGAATTGATCGATTTCTTAGGATTACAAACATCTCCTCCGCCAAATACTGTGATGACATTAGTAAGTGTAACGTAATCGGTTGTTAGCTATCGTTTTTTTTTTTTTAATTATTGCTATATTCATAAATCATGACAATGTGCTCGTTTACCAGGTTTTTAGTAATACAATAAAAATGTATCAGGATTAAATTGCATATGGGTAAATTATATTGTATATTTTTGTTACAGACAGATAGTTATGATTTCACATTCATAAATTATTGATTTAATATGTGTACTTATTTCATGTTGTATAATGGTTAAACACCCTTCAAAAGTTAATTTAACTATTAAATTTATAAACTATACAATTTGAACATTATTGTTTTTCATACTACCTATATATTATTAATTTTATATGAATATGAATAAGTCCCTCCAAAACAACATTTTGTTGATAATTTTTATTGCACAAAAAAATAAAATAAAAATGTTTGAAGGTAGGCGATGAATATGCAATTACCAAACTTTGTTCAACTAAATATCCTTAAAATCAAAAATAATTGATGATGCCTTATTGCCTGCTTTATTATCTGATCTGATTATTGTTGTCAACTAGAGTATTATAATACTCACCCAACCATTTTAATACCTAAGAATCATTTGAATAACTAGCAAAATAAACTTTAAATTAATATTTGATGTATAAATACCTTAAAAATGCTAAAAATGTGGTTAAATATACATTTAAATACGAATAATCTCATAAAAAGTCACAATTAGTTTCAATAAGTAGTTTTCGGTAACAATATTAAAAATTATTTTCAAATTTAAATAGTTTATATGTATGAGTTATTAAATATATTGTACATAAGTATTAATCAGTTATTAATTATATAATTAATCATTTACAAATATATAAGAACAGTGGCGATTCCTGGCTACTACTATTATTTATGAAAAGAAGAAAATTAATTCTTATTGTAATAATATACCAATTAATAATTTATTAAATAACTGAATATTCAAAATACTAAAATTATGATTTTCTAATAATTAAAATAATCATTTTATGAATGTTGTTGAGTGCGATCGCAGCGATTACCATGTGCGTACAAATCAATCTTTTACTGCTGAGTGCTAGGCGATAGTCTGCCTCTTTCGAACGAAAATCGTCGTCGCCCAGGCTACTTTACAAAATATACATGTCATGTTTGGCCGCGCGAATGTGTGCTTGCAGATACGATTAAGCCGCGTTATTCTGCAAGCGTATGGACGACACACTGCGTCATACAAATATATAAGTATCAACGATAATTTTTTCCAAACTAATCTGAACAGTTTATTCACGGATTACGGGTTTCAATGATAAAATAAGGAATTTTATTATCATCGATTATTTGAGTGTCTTATTTAATCACGTGCGTTTTATACCGCCATTGTATGCTAGTATTTGGACAATAATAGAATAATAATATCAAAAATAAATGATACAGGAACAGACAGATACTTTTTCGTATATTCTCGCACATCCTTCATCAGCACCCACGAGCCGCCACTATATAAGAAGTAATAAGAAAAAGTATTTTAAGTAAAAAAATATAGACTTCTCTCTTTTAAACTGCGTTCTAAACAAAAAACAATATACAATTTTAGTAATGTACAGGCCAAGTAGGTATATAATGATACTTTAGAGCTGAAAATTACTAATATTCTAAAGAAATAAAATGTAGGAAAAACAAAATTAGACATTTTTGTATTGAATAAAATGAGATAAATTATTATATAATTATTTGAACAGGCGAAAGTTAATCAATTGTGGCACAGATAGTCTAGCCCTCCCCTCTCCCTGGAGATGTGTTGCCCTTTAATTTGGACAAATGTCGACAAGTGTGAGAATTTTTTCCATTAGTTTCATTTGATAATTTTGTACATATAGATTTAGAGGAATATTACGACGTAAGCCGAAAATTTATTTACGTGGTGTGAGATTGCAAACGAATGTCACTTGCATGGGCCAGCAGAGAGCCCAATTCACGGACCAGTGTACTGATTCCTTGCATTTGTCGTAGCTTCGTTTAAACGCTGCTTTACAATTTTCGTCTGCTCGGGATATAATGCCTAAATAATTGATAATAATAAAGAATCAATCATAATAAATAAGCTATACCTGTCGTTTATTTAAATTACTAATCGAAAACTTTTATATAGCACTAGAAAACAATATATTATTTAATTTCATGAGTGCTTTTTGTATTTATTAAGGTAAATTAAGTTTATTGCATTCAATTTTTGAGGTTTATTTTTTTTAATCTTTTATTTATTAGATATTAGTCTATGAAAAATAGGCACATAGAAATATTTTTGATAGAAAAATAATATACTTGCAAAACTAAGCAATTTATTATTTTCTAAGAATTATTGTGTACGTTTCTTGTGTAGGTGCATTTATTTCGTTTAGAAAATGAATTTATTTAGCTGATCGTGTTTATGATTGTACTTTGTTGTACTTAAAAGGCTCTAAATTTGTGATTCTAAGAAAATAATTCAATATTTAGCGGTTTTTGACTTATCGAAATTAGAACGAGAGTTAATTGTAAATAATCGTATTTCAAAACGCACACATGAATTTATTATGCATAAATATATGTGTCCCCAATGACGCTGTCGAGCCTTCTACGTTTTAGAAAAGTCATAAAAGAAACAATTTACAATTGATACATTCTTCTTTAATTTTTATTTTACTAGAATAAAAAAGGAGTAGATTTAAATTAGAATTTAACGGAAAAAAAATTTAATTAGCAGAGATTTATTGATACAGGAGTGTCTTTTATTTTGAAAAGGGATTTTTATATTATAAGAATTTGCTGATGGAAATTTATAAAATATAAACAATTATTTTATTTTTAATGTTTCCTCTTCCGAATTTAGTTATGATTTTTGCTGATGCGATTGTTAATTTATTGATGGTGGAAGCGTGAAGTTTTTTTATAATTATTATTATGAATTAGTCTCAAATATTATAATAGTTACAAACTTGAATTTTAATTATGAAAAAAATGAATAATTAATTAATACATTATATTATTATTAATTATATATCCATATATGTATATAATAAGGATACGTCGTAAATAATACAATATTTTAAACTTATTTTTTTTATAAGATGGGTGAGATTTCATGGTTAAGGGGAATACAATGATGGGTAAATGGTATAGCTAGTTTTTTAAATTTAAAATCCATGTACTTACCATTGCTCTAAAAAAAAAAAAAAAAAAACGATTCTACGTGAAAGAGGTCCAACCGATCAGTTAATATTTTTAAAGATGTTTGAAAAGAAAAAGGACCAAAGTTTTGGTTGGACTATTAATTGTTCTTTATTAACTTTAACAAAACATAGTTTTTGTGTCTATGAATCACACGAACTTCATTAAAATAATTTAAAACTATGAAATGTCTTTAATTAAATAGTTCGTTTTTCACAACTATTAATAAATAGTTTAGAAAATTCGTAAAATGATCCTTTTCCAAAATACCAAATTGACAGCATTTCTTATGATTGTGATGATCGGAACAAATCCTTGTTAGCAGATCCTTTCGGTCGACGGCTAAAGGTGAGTTGCGGCCCGACATGTCATTTACGTATTGAAGACCGGTGAATTGCGGCCTGGTCATATTTTATCACTAAGTTAATTGCGGCCCGGGAAATTTATTTATTTTCAATTTTGTGCCGGCAGTATCGGCAGTATCTTATCTAAAGTAGATACCATAACGTCAATAGTTCAAACGAAAAATATTACAGTGTTAGTCTGTTCACCACTTAGTATCTATATCTACGAAAACTAAAAATTCTGTTTGAATGTGTTATACAGTTTATTATAAGAGTGTTATGGAGTTTGTAAATAGTGAAAAATCAAAACCAATTATTCTCTACGAAGGCTACAAATTTTGTTTCCACAAAACACTAAAAAATGATGTACAGCGGTGGCCTTGCAGTGTCAAAAGTTGTAAGTGCTTTTTAAAATTATCTCCTTTAAATAAAATAGTTGACAGTAATACTAATCATAACCACAATAAAAACGACGAAAAATTCCTGAATAGGCAAATATTAAGTAATTCTCTGAAAAGAAAAACCATAGAAGACATTTCTTGCAAAATTAATTCGTTCAGAATTGAAGAAAGGCGATATATCGACTTTGACAACGAATGATTTATCATTAATTCGACACAATGTTCATCGTGCCTGTTTATTTGTACACCCCTCCTCTGCCAAAATGCATTAAAGAATTACATGCTGCTTTAGAGTCTATGAATATCAAAACTAATATTGATGAGCCATTTTTGTTTATCAACGACAAAGAAAATTTTATAATTGGTTTTTCTACTACACAAAACATAAAAGTGCTGTGCGATGTAAATAAATTTTACGTAGATGGAACTTTCAAAAGCTGCCCTAAACACTTTTATCAACTTTTTACCATCCATGGCCTAAAAAATGATGTATATTTACCACTAGTATTTTTTTTACTACCCGACAAGTGTAATACCACGTACAAGTGTGCATTTCAACATTTAATTTGCCATTCCATGTCCATTGGTCTAACGTGCTCTCCTACTGAAGTTGTTATAGATTTTGAACAAGTTATCCACAGTGCTGTAGAGGAAGTCTTCCCTAATGCTAAAATAAGAGGATGTCGATTTCACCTAGGTCAAAGTTGGTGGAGGAAAATTCAAAGTTTAGGACTCACGAAAATGTATAACACAAATACAAATGAAAGTTATTTTTTAAAATTTTTTGGTTTGCCATTTTTGGATTCTGACAACGTCATTGATTGTTTCATGGATGACTTTTTAGCAATACTGCCCGCTAAAGATGATCGAGTTGTACAATTTACCGACTGTTTTCGAAAACTATATATCTCCGGATGCTATGTTTCCCCCAAATATTTGGGCACAGTTCTCTGCTAGCTGTAACCGTACCACTAACGGCTGTGAAAGTTTTCATTCACACCTAAATTCATCGTTCTACTCTAGTCATCCTAACATCTATAATTTTAAAGATGTGTTAGTGGAAATTCAATCAGAAACATATATCAAATGTAGAAGCAGTGGAATAAAAACGAAGAAAATATGTGAAAAAGAAGCATTTATAAGACAACAGATGACAAAGCTAGCACAAAAAGAAATAGAGCAGTTTGATTTCGTGAAATCATTAAATTTTAAGTTTTTGCCCAACCAATAAATATATATATATTTTTACATATTTTACATAAATATTAAAATTCATTTTACCATAAATTACTATACATTTTGCCATTTTTACATAAATAAAAAAAAACAAATTTTTGGGAGATGACTTAGCCAACCTCCTCGTGGTGTCTTCTGGGTAACGCTGATAGGCTGATATGAAATGATAAATAAAATGTAAAATGTGGCCGCAACTCGCACGTCTGTTTCATAAACACGGGCCGCAATTCGTACGTTATTTAGGGATCGGGCCGCAACTCACCAACACCGCGGTCGACATTGTTTATTACAAACACAATAAAAAAACACGTCATGATAAAATCAATACATTCCACGTTTTACCCAGAGTTTAAAATGTACAAACTATTTCTTATAATAGAGCTGATGGATTTTTATTAGCTATACTCATAATTCGATGTAATGTCTGATTTTTTTTATGTACATAACTCTTATTAGTTTATAGATATATTAACGCTTCGTAAAATAATTTGATAGTGAGTATTTGATAATAATTTTAACTTATATACATCTCGACTAATTCAGGCGTTCCAATTCATTACCTTCCGATTAATAACATATATCCCCTGGTACGTTTCCAATAACTTACTTCACAAAGACCTCAATATCGAAACCATCAATAAAATTGCTTACACCCATTACACAAAATTCCACTCCAAATTACCTAATCACTCCAACACACTGATTGCTATTCAAGGCAGTGTAAATATACAGTATAATCCCCTCCGTAGATTAAAAAGACGTTGGTGCACGAACCAAGTATATCCTTAAATTAAAAACACTAATCTTTCAGGATTTTGTCATTTGAACGCCTCCTTCCTCATATTTATATATGTTATATAAAAAATGTTTAATCATTTCATTTGATTTTTGTATACTATATAATACAGATTGAAAATATTCTATTTTTAATAAAAAAAAAAAAATCTTTTACATTTAAATAGAAAATAAACATTATAGTTGTTTTAACATTGCTAAATTTTAATTGCTTTGTACTAGTTTAGTTTTCTAGTCTTATTTTATTGTATTATAATTGTTTTATGAATACTGTTTTCATATTTATTTACCAAACCGTTTGCAGCTGTTCATTTAATAGTTTTGATGAATGTCGGAAAATAAGTCATCGGAATAAAGTTACAGATGTAATGATATATAGTTATATTTTTACAAGTTATAGAAAAAAAAATTCAAAAATACACTTCTTACAAATTTAATCAGATTTCATTCTTATATTATGTCCTATATTTGTCAAGAATAATCAACACTTAATTTTCTTTTAGTAAATTGTTTACACCATTTTTTTACTCATAATCTATATTTACATGTATATTTATTACAAAATAAACGTAACCTGATCTAATCCTTGGTAAAAATGTTTAATGTTTTAATTAATATTACACCATATAATAAATTATTTTATTAACGGGAATTTTTCCGTTTACCGTTTTGGTAGCTATTACATACCGTTTTCTAATAGTTTCATTAATAGACATATTTAAATATTGCAACAGTTATTACGATTTGATTATGTGTGTTGGCGATTGATATATGTGTTAAATTTTTTAATATTAATAATCGTTTGTTTGTATTGTTTTTGTACGTTACTTAATTTTTTAGAAGTATATTTGGCATAATACTTAACTCGAATAGCCTATACTTCAGTTACCTTTACATTTCCTACGTAGTTTATTCTTATATTTGTTCTCTACCTCATCTGATTCCGATATTCTGTTAATATTCTTCATATGTTCTTCGTTTTTCGAAGGTCTCTAGAACAGAACAAAATGGATAACAATGCTCAGCATAGACAGCAGGTATATTTTTTATTATTTTATATTTTTTTTTTCGATGACATTCGATAACTTTAAAACTATTAATTAATTTTAGTTGATAATATTGTAATAATATTTTTTATTTAAGTAGCGAAACCATCAACTAATTGAATCTCAACGAATCCAATTTCCTTTATTAGTGTTATTATTTATCGGGCAGATCATATATATTTTAAATTATTAAATAAATAAAAATTGTATTCCATGATTACTGATTATATCCTCCCACCAGAGGCAGATATTGGGGGTAGGATTTAAGGGGGGGGGTTGAGCCCCCCGAACGTAAACTAATCACACCAGGCATCAAAATAAATTGTATATTTTAATATTTAATATTTATAGTTTTTATTTTATTTTGTTGGTATGCGAGAATGGTTTGCAATATTTACGCACTCTCATTATTGGGAAAAATCATATTTTGTAGGCAATAAAGAAAATAAAGGAATAGATTTATATAGTTAAAATTAAAAAAAAATTGAGTAACTATTCAATATTCTATATTTTTATGTTCCTATTATTTGTATATATTTGATGCCTCAACTAGGATAAATTAAGAGTAGCCACTAGTTAGTAGGTTGAAACGTTTAAAAATGTCTGTTCACGCTAATGGATAAGACAAAAATGTTAAGCACTCCCCACAGATGTAACCAAATATCCGCTTATGCCTCCCAGTAACGTTTAATGCCCGTTTCAATTGGAAAACACTGATCTAGTAAATTTTTTTGAGAACTTCCCTTACCACTGGATAAATTAAATATTAAACCAATGAACTATAACAGTTATAACTATCATTTGATCGTCAACTACCATTTGATCGTCTAGATAATCGTTTCTCTCATGTAGTACGATGGCATCGTCGTCTGATTCAAATTCTTGTCGAATAGGATCGATTATATCATTTATTGAATTTATGGTATCTTTTACCTCATTTGTATCAGCCTGAAATTTTAGAATTAAAAATTAATGACTTCAAATAAAATTGATCAGTTTAACTAATGTAAATTAAAATATATGACATGTCAAAAAACGAAATAATTTCTACTTAGTGACAATGATAAGAAAATGATTGAAAGTTATTATAAGTTTATTTCCGATTAGTTATCTACACGGAAATCACTAATTTTGGATAATTTAACGAAAAAAAATTACTTTAATTGTACATTCTAAGCGAAAAAAATAAAAACAGTTTTACAATGATGTTTATTTTATTTAATATTTTGTTTTAATTTTTTATTATTTTTTCTTCTTTTTTTCTATTAACTATTTTTCGGATAGAAATACTGGTCCAAAAGTTTTTGTCTATTAAATTTTTAGATTATAAATTGGCTTGAGGTGGTATTTTAGTAAGTCATATTTCCTAAATCTCAATAATTTTGACTAAAAACTGAATAAAAACCGCAAAAATTCGCTATAAACAAGACTTTCATTTTTAAATTTTAGTTATTTATTCCAAAAGTAATGTGACTAAAAACTTGATATTTTTACCTTACATCAAAGATATTTGTTTTTATATTTCAAGAGATTTAAAAAAAAGTTCGGTTATACATATTTATATTTCATAACGTTTTAAAGCAACTTCGGTTTAAATATCTATATAATGAACTTTGAAAATACCTCATTTTTTATGAAATATAATTTTTTTTCGATGTTAAGACTTGAAAATTTAATACCACCTAAATTATATACTTTCAATAATACTGAAAAGATTTCAAAAATCTTAAGTCAGGATTTAATTTTATAAGTATTTAGGTAAATTATTAATCGATTTTCACGAAATTTACTGTTTTTACATCAATATTAAACTTGTTTAAATTTTTATTAAAATAAATTGGTCCATCCTATCATAATGAAACTTTTTATGTAGATGGAACAACATGTTATGAATATTTGTTAAAATGGTATCTCCTTTTTCATGTATGAAAATTTTAAACACGTTGATAAATAAAAGAAAATTTACTGACAGACTAAAAACGGTAAAATATATAAACGATATATTTTTATACTGATTTTTATATACTTTACTCAGAATCATTATATTAATGAAATGAGTTAAATTAGTTAAATGATAATTTATTTCTTTAAAACTCAATACCCATTACCATTATCTAGCTTAAAGACCGAAAAGATGAAGGACGAACTATTATTATTATCTTATCATGTTTTTTTTTTCTAAATATTTGTATTTCTAATTAATGTCATTGAACATGTTAAGAAGAGAATACAATTTATCTGTATCCAAACGGTAATAATAACAATATCGTATCATTATCATATGAATATTGCATAATTTCGTTATTTTTAAGGTTATCAGTAGGGCTCGGATTTCAATGCATTTGCATATTTTTTTTGAAATATCTTACACGATGCTTTCCAAGCTAAAAATGTGCTTCAAGTACTCCCAAGTATTCCATATTGTAAGTAAACATTTTTTTAGGGGCATTTTTTACATTTTTAGCGGATTTTATACTTTTTGGGGCATTTTTAACGTTTCAATGCATTTTTAAATTTCTTAAGGCATTTTTGACCTATTTCTTGTATTATGACTAAAAAAATTGACTTCATTGAAATATAAAGATAGTATGAACATTAACACATAGGTAATTAATTAGCATTAATCGAGTCTATACATTTCGTAGATACAATTTGTCAAATTAAACTTTTTACACATTTTCTTATATTTTATATATTATTTTATATACATTTTTATAATTTCACATGTTAAAAACAAATTTTTTTTCTGAATTTTAATATTTATTTATTTCATTAGAAAAAATAAAATTATTTAATGTACATTTATGTTGAAATTACTTTTTTGTTAGGGCAAAAATTAAATATTTTTAGGGTAATTTTTAGAGTTTTTAGGTCGTAAATGCATTTTTTGACTTTTGTAGGGCATTTAAATGTAAGCCCTAGTTATCACTATTCTTTATTCTTTATATATTTGTTACCAGATACCAAAGATTGTGAAATAAAAGTACGCTAGTATTTTTTAGTTTTTCTTAATGGAGACATTTTAACAACAATTATCACAACTCGATCATTATGAAGCAAGCGTAAAAATAATAATGAGACACAAAAAAATTGTAAATTATGTTTTTCAAAGCTTATAATTTAAATAGTCTTTAAATTATTATGGCAGTAAGAAGAATAACATATTAATAATTTACAATAGAAATTATTATCGTCGTCAAGTTTAAAAATATTATATGAATTTTAATTTTAATGTTTCCTAAAAGCTCCACTAATGATTAGATATTTATAGATTGCCATAAAAAATCAGCGTTCCAATCAAGATTGATTAAATCGAGCTATTCGTGTTTTGCTATGTAACAACTATTATAATAATTATTCAAAAACATAACTTGCTCTAATTTGGTCAATTTTTATTCAATTTTAATATTTTTTTTGAACTGTTTTAAAAAATATGCTCAAGAAAATGCTATCTTAAAAATTGAAAATTCTTAAATGCATAAAAATTTTTTTTTTGAATTATTTTTAAAAAAAATTGAATATTATGCCATTCAATCAGAATTTCCATACTATGTATTTTTAAAAAACCGCGTTTAAATATATTGATTTTCCATAGAGATATTAAGGGTGATACGGGACTCATGGGACATACTGGATAAAGTGTTTTGTGTGCAGTTTCAGTACCAAAAATATTATCGCTGCTATTAAAACAATAATTGTGTTATAGTTGGGAAAATAGTTGTTGTCTAACATGTTTGCTGAATACTGTGCATGACTCGCGGAGTCAACTATAGTGATTTTGGTCAAAACCTATTTGTAACTAAAACGTTTGAAGTACCTAAATATCAATGCAAATATTTCTGTGTCTGACGTTTGATGATTACATAAAGTATGTTTAAAGTTATTTGTAACATAATACACTTTGAATTTAGTGGTGGTAATCGTATTAACTAAAGCTTAATAGTACAAACATTTAAGAAAAAACAATTGCTAACAGAAAAATAAATGAAAAACATAATAATGTATACACAGATGAATGTAGATTTAGCTTATTTTAATTAACTGACTGCAGCAGATGACTTTGCCGCGTCAGGATCTGAACCGAAATGTAAGGCTTAAGGGTTTATACGGTTCTTTTTAAATACAATGTTCGTCAACGGTGGCAAACGTCAAGTACAATTTTCCCATCATAATTTCGTTGTTGTTATTATTTTCAATTTGTTTTTATATCCGGTCATGATACGCGTGTATCGTACATATATCGTATATTATGAACATAATATTGAACATATTATAGGACAAATGATTGACATGATAATATGTAAAATATAGCGCAGAACGATGTACGCCACATATTTGCACTGGATGTTACGCGTACGAATTTGAAATTCACTCGTAAATTATTAAAAATTACAATGCGAAAACATTTTCAGAAATTGTTGTGACTTGACGATGCATGAACTATTTATCAGACGGAATAATTTATGAGGTCTCAGTGATTGTGTATGCTAAAAGGAAAGAACTCCATTATATACTAAAGAAATGTATCCCAACCGAGATACAACTTGAAGTATTTCACTTTCTTTAAACTTAGAGTATTTTTTATTTTAATATTTTTCCAAAGATACTCATGGAATCGTTGTCGCATACGTAAACGTAAATGGCTTTGTACATAAACATATATCTGATACTGTTATTGTAGTGGCATCTCAGAAGTTGTAACTTATATTGCACTCACACATATTAATGATGACATATACTCTTGTACATACGATTTTTTTTTTTAAAAATAAGCATCAAATTTAATACGAGTAGATTTTAATATATTGTTATTACATTTCGGTGATAGTTGTATAATATGAGTAGTTGCATATAAATGTTAGCTATTTTTATATGTATTTATATATTTACGTATGTTAGTTATACGTATCAAAAAACAGAAATAATAGCGAAACATATTTGAAACATAATTTAACAAACAACAAAAGTATACCAAACATGATAACATTTCTGTAATCGCTTAGATATCTCTAAAGGGCTTTAGACTTTACACGCAACGATTTATTGAATGTTTATCGAACACGACTAATCGTATGAAGTAGAACGGAGCGTGTATGTTATATAATAAATCGTACGTCTTATCGAATTGGAATGAAGTATAAGATTGGACTGAAATATTGATGGGTGCGGATTAATTTTACACGAAGTTGAACGAAAAGTCATTACATTTAAATCCAGGCTTGATTCATTGTACAACATTTTGTCCTTTTTATGTTCACATTTCTCCTAGAATAATTTCGTCTTTTTTTTTTTTTTTAATAATTGTAATATATTATAGTATACTCGTATTTATCTATATTATTTAATAAATAATATAAAATTTGATTTTAGTAGTATTTTTGGTTTTCTTATGAATATGTCTGACCTACGGAAATTCTGTTGCACATGTGCTAGGGACATTATGACAAAAAAACCATAATATTGTTTCTTCTATGTCTTAAAAAAATCTAACATAACTGAGTACTACTGAAGAATAAAGAAAAATACAGTCAAAGCTAGGATGGAAAACTGAGTGAAAATTGGAATGACACTCTATAAAATGTACGTTTTACTGCCCATTTTACATGTCCAGTAAAACATACAATAAGTCGTTGCGTGTAAACCGGCCTTTAGAGGGAAAAATTTTTTTAGCTGTAGTTTATAACCAATTGTATGTTTCCATGGTGGTAAAAATATAAAATTACGTGATATTGGTTTTTACTTTATAACATTTTGTTTTGGTTTTTATTTATGATACGGTTAAGTTCTTAATCTTAATGTCATGTTGAATACTAAATTCATAACTTCAAAACATAGAAAAGAAAAATTTCCTATTCGATTATTTTTAGGTGACCTAGAAGAAATCCAAAAAGCTTTAGCAGATCCAATTAAATGGATTAACTTTTATAAGTTACCGTTGATATATATATATATATATATATATATATATATACATATACATTGACCTTGTTAGATACTTCATTTACTAGGCCTGTACGATTTTATGTATATTATAGCTTAATTGATTATATTATATGGTTATCTACCCCTCTTTCCAACCTATATTATTTATGAACTATTAATCTTTCTCTGTATATTATATAATTTATGCTTCATAAGTGTGTCAACTTGGTCTTGCAAATAAATTAACTAAATGAAATCAAAATTTATTTAAAATATAAAATGAATGTAGTCTACATTTTACATTATAGTTTTAGAAATAAAAGAGCATAATTTTTCCCATTGCACTATCCGCAATATTCTTGGTATAATAAATCTATAGTATCGCAATAACTATTTTCCATTCAAATATAAATCTTTTAAAATCTTATATTATTTATACTTTATTCTTTTAAATTATTTATGTCGTTTATGCAACATATAAATTGAAATATTCATAATTATCTCGGTAAAAGTTAAATTATTCAATTTTACCATCACATCATAGATTAAAAATTGACGATATCTGTAACTGAGCTTTTGTATAGAAATTGATTATAAAATTAATATTACACATTCATGCCAATCGTACCTTAAGGTTTAACAACGCCTCCTGGAACGGTTTGAACATAAGTTCATACCGAGTTTTCGATAGGTTGTACACGAGTGCACCGGAACATGTGAATACTCTGATAACCTCGGACCCGTTTTTAGTTATGTTATTCAGAGGACCAGCCATGACATAGGCGAACACCATGGCTACTAATACCCGTTGGCCAGACTTGTCGCAGAACGTCGGCATAACCAATAGGCCTAAACATCTTACCTGAAAACAGATCTGAAAATAATATGCATAGACTACTTCGTTTAGATTATTGTTGTTGAGATGAATTATAATTTTCCAAAAACATAACATTTTCGTGTTTGTTATTTTTAATAACGTAATGCAATATTTATAAATGTTTTAAATATTTTCTACAGGCGTTAAAAACAAGCAAGCCAAATGAATATAATGATCGGTGGTTATTTTCATAGAAATTAATGCGACCACTGGGAATAATGATTATTTTCTTTGATGTATAAAAGCAATTCAAATTAGAAATTTACATAAAAAATGATGTAAAATAAATACAATTTATTTCTTGTATCTGTTGTTTCAATTTAATTTTCAACAACACAATTAAATTTTAATTCATTTTTTTGAACGAATTGTCTGATGTTGTTTGATTGCCGTTTTCTGTCTTTTATTTTTTATTTGGAGATAATCTGAGAAATCTTTCTAGTCGAAATCTTGAACCCAAATGATAAAACACTCCTCCTCTCTCTCAGAATATAAAATATTTAATAGATATGAAGTAATTTTTACAGCATAAGTTGACAGTTACTTGGATTAACATATAAATATCTTCAATAATTAGATAAGTAGCCTGTTAAAATAAATTCTATGTGCACACTCTGTACCCCATGTGCAGGCTTATGGACATTTCAGTATCGATTTACCTGCTGTGAAATGGCGTGACCAATACTTAAAAACAGGCTGATGACGATGCCCATTAAGTGAGTGGTCTGGTCGCTAAATTCTAAGTCGACTATTACAAAATGGTAGAGGACTAGAAAAAAACATTTTTGTGGATTATGAAATGGATTTATGTAAATAATATAATCGATGAATATTTACTTAGACTTAGGAAAAGTCCATAAACAAATCCAAGAATTAGCTTCGATTTTCTGAACTTTTTACTATTACGATCATCTACAAATAAAAAAAATAAAAAAATCAAACTGTATTAAAGATTTATTCAACATCGTAGATTTTAATAATAATATTATATTATCAATGTCATAGACAGATCTGAAAAAGGTGAAAAGACATTTTAATCATTCCAAGTATTCAGAGCAGTTCGAAAGAGCAAACAAATTAGTTGGTGATTGTTTTGTGATTATTTATATCCAAATTCGAGTAGTTTCGTTATTAGTTAATTAAACGTTAATGCCGTTTAAGAAAAGTGGTTTACTTTAAATATTTGATGTAATTTTTAGGTATAATGTGAATCGTGTGAAAAAAAAATGCCACTTTTGCTACAATTTAATATCCTTACGCTTATAAATTACTGTTTCAAGATCTCTAAAGTCTATTCTGTGTTATTATAACTATCAGTAGTTTAGAATGAATAAATAAATAAATAATAAACAGTAAAGATTTTACGACCATTGTGTGATGATGTTCTATAAATAAAACGTGATTTTGATTTTGATCTAGGAAAATAGTTTTGTAAATTGAAATAACAAATAGTGTTTCGTAAATTGAAATGACAAATAGTGTTTCTGAAATTATTTTTTCCCCTGTTTTTCAAGAAAAATATGTGAAATTTTCTATTCAATACATTTTATCGAAAATACCGATTTTTTTTAATAATAATGACAATTGTTTATAATATTTGACCTTACAGTCGTCAAGTTAATTGACGACAAAGTCACAAAAGTTTCTGAAGCAGCAAACAACGTTTTATAAATAAAAAATTCCTTGCATTTAACCTAGCTACAGTCTACAATTGGTGGGTGGTTGTAAATAATTTAATGTAAAGGAGCATTATTTTCTTATATTTTTGAACGGCATTAGAACGGAAGAATTTTTAAGCAAAAACGAGAGATAAGATATTAAAAATATTTTAAAAAAATGTCCGTAAAATATCTTTGATATGTCCGGAATTAGACAAATGTATATTAAATTAAAAAAAAAAAAATTGTAATCAGATTGGTGTAAAAAGCTAAAGGTTGATGAAAATTTTAGATTGTTGATTAAAAAACTTATATTATGAAGAATTCTAAAATATGTTAAGGCTATAAATATCATGGTTATTATAATAACGTGGGTATAACATACCCATATTGTATAATAGCATGTAATGTTGTTCAGCAAAATGAAATAATAGTTAAATTTTATTACATATTTTGACTCCGATAAATTAATTAATTTTGCGTTTGAAAATTAATCATTGACTATTATATTAATTTCACATATTTTTTATTATAAGCGTATGTACTTGCTATTTTAAGAGTCTTATGGTATTTTTGCCATGAGTACGCGGTGTGTTAATTGAATTCTCGTGTTCATATATATTATCATGACGTGTATATACAACATTCAGGAATTAAATCAGTGGTCTATATGGCTGTAGTACGTATGGATAATGATTTGTGTTTAGGATTTGTAGTATTGTAACAAAGGTCAAGAGTGGGATCAATAACGTAACTAAGAGAGAATTATCACGACCATACTTTTAAGTTAAAACATTTTTCCGCGCCAAAATCACAGCAGGAACAATAATTAATTATGATTTAAAATATTTACGAACAAAAAATTGAACAGTTGTGAGGCCTATGAATTAAAATATATTTACTTATAGCAGTGATTAATTAATTTCTTTACTTTAATAATAAATTGAGTAAACAAAAAATACGTTAGTCAGTATGTATGTTGTGTAAATGTATATATTATTCTGTCAGAAGATCGTAACATCAAAATTGTGATCATTGCAAGTTGTTATGAAATATTGTTACCAAAATAGATAAATCGTATCAATAAATGTATATTTATTTTATTATATTTTGTCAAAATGTTGGTGTAAAATATATGAAACAAAATAAAAATCCAAACTGATTTTTTCATCTCGAAAATAAATTGCTAAAGCTTTAAAAACATTTATTTTTACAATTTTTTTTTAAGAACGAGACGTATTCTGTAATACTTCCCTGGAGAGCCACAATTTCATTTGATGAGGGATTTGAAAATATCCATTATAGAAAAGTGAGAGAATAAAATGTAACTAACTCGTATTTATTTTTTTATGGGACATTTTAAAATATTAGTATTATAGATTCTTTTGCTATTGGGAAGTGTGCATAAAAAGATAATTTACTATGAATGAAAAACATATTAGACTACACTAATCGAGTTATTGATTCTTAGTTTTCACCCGGAGGGAGCTGCTCGATAATTAGCTGATGAAACAGAAAGACTTAAAGTCCACGAAGATGAAATGTATCTCACGATTTGGAAGGAAACCGATTTGATGATTAGTTTCACGGCCATATTCACACGTCGTTATTTATATAAGTAAAACTACTATTTAAGTAAGTGCTGGCCCTGCATTTCAGAGTTATAATTTATTTGAACGATGGCAATGCACGAAAAACGCAGATAATTATACGATAACAAAATGTAATGTTATTCGGTTGAGGTTTATTATTCGACAGCACCACGGATATAATTAAATTTTTTAAACAGAGCCATAAGCAAATATTGTAAAAATAAGTTGTGTGTTTAGTATTATAATATTATAAGTTTTATTAAGTCGTGTTTTTTGTCGTCGTTGTGTTTGGGCGATGATTTTTTTTTTTTTATTATTATATCACTAAATTATACGGCGGCCGTGAATCCATAGGGTGTGTATCGCTATTCGAACAGGGTTGAAAACTATTTCGTCTTTAAAAATAACATAATATGAATTTTAATTTTTGTATTGGCTTTAAGGCGACGGGGTCCATTGTGGTTTTTTCGATAAAATTAAATTTTTGGCCTACTGAAAAAAAACGGTATGAGAGGGTGTAATTAATATACGATGGTGAGTTAGGGACGAGAGAAAAAAAATCGTCATTTTAATTACGTTTTACTGGGAAGGTTATAATTACGTAACATGTACTTTCGTTAAATATAAATTTATCCATATATATATATGTGTGTGTGTTTGTGTGTGTGTGTATGTGTGTATGACATACGTCAGTTATAATTAATATTTATAATAGTTCGTACATTATGAACCCAACACGCGTTCGTGCACGGTGTACGTTTCGCTAAACTTTGTCAATTCAATTAGTAAAAAAATATAAAATGTGTTTATTTTAATTATAACTACAGGCGCGTAATTGTTTACAGTAAAAACTAAAACAACAATATTGTTGTAAATTAATAAGATTAATGGAATACGGAATTGTTCGAATAGCGTCGGGAGGAGTACGTAATACTACGCATTCCTTTTTCAGCAGATATATCGAATTCATATTTTTTGTGGGCGATGTTTGCCTTTCGTTGGGGCACTCGATTTTTTATATTAAATCCACTCGCTTCTCATATTGTCGTTTGACCGGAAACCAAAATAAACCGTACGGATTACTATGTCGGACGATATTCGCGCGTGGACGAAGTGGACGATAATGAATAGCGTAATGCGCGTGATTAACGTGTCGGAACCGCGGTAGTGCATGGTTTTCGATAAATGATCGTTTGATAAGCAGCTTTGATCGCGTGGGACGCATATGATAGACGACGAATTTAATAAAACCATTATGTTAAACTACGGAACGTTATAGGCACTTGCCGCCGTCGCGCAACTGTATTTATTTATCGTTATTTGCAACGCGCATCATCCCTGGTTCTTAATGGTTTCTTAAGATGTTGTCTTTACTATTAAAATCAAAGATACATATAAATCGATAAATTTATAAATTAATTGACACTGGATTAGTTTGCATGTGACTAACGTTTGAACTCCACCAGTGGCAGTTTTACGGGGTGGGGGGGATTCAAGGGTCTTGACCCCTTCCCCAGGTTACGCGTTAAATTGCGATATATTTTATACGCGGATCTACATTTATAGGTACGCTTATATGCTTACGTAAAATCTAGTGATTTCAACCGTATGTTCGTATATTTGATTTTTTATTAGAGTTACTCAAAATTCACTACATATTTTCTTATAAGAATAAATATATTTTATAAATATAAAATTTTAAATTATCGCATAGGTAATATTCTCAGTGTCACGACAAATTTTCGGAAGCCCTCAGCATTAAGACATATCCATGTTAAAAATAACAATCTTTAACAATAGTGTTTTTCATTTCAGAGAGAGCCCGGGCTCCCTCCCACCCACCTCATAAATACACCCCTGGTTGCGCCTATGGTTAAAATGTATTTTCGACGGCTTCAATTAGTGAAAATTCAAATAAATCACACGTTGTATTCTTGTACTAGTTAAATGACATAAAACATAATTTTTCTTCTGCGTATGTGAAAATCAACATAGGCGGTACTAGACTCTCTTGGCAGGGGGGCAGGAAATACTTTAAGTAAAATATTAACACTATTTTTTCTAAAGCTTTAGACTAGCAATATTATAAACAAAGTATTTTATTGATAACTATTTTAACTTATTTCAAATAAGATTATTTTTTAAAATGAATAATACATTTACAAATACATACATTTATTTTATCTTATAAAATTTTAAAATAATAACTTACTACAATTTACCTGTGATGCTTCTCATAGGCGGACTCAGAGTGATACATTTGAGTGTGCCCTGTCATTTTTTGGTTATTTTTTCAAAATATAATGGGGAGGCTATAAACACGTACGTGTAGACCGTGTTATGATTTAAATTCTAAAAATAAAAGTTTCGTTAATGATGTAAAATAACGATTGGTAAAATATACACATAATTATTATTTCAGACTTATTCTGAACACTTGCAATATTACTTACAAAAAACTGAAATTTAATTAATGTGTACGCACATATATTCTCAATTATAATTATTCACATTAGGGTGTGCCGGCACACCTAGTAGAGCCGCCTATGATAATTTTTGTATGAAAAAGTCGTATAAAGTTTTTATTTTTTTACTTTGGTTTGTGTTCATAATTTTTATTATAATTAATACTATCCAAAAAATTCTAGAATATTAAATAAAATACACACTTTAAATCAAAGTTAAAACCATACAAAACTTTTGTGATACAGATAATAATAAAGTAATAATATTGGTTCATGATTTGTCAATGATAAAAATAAATTATAATAATATTGAAAATGTTGACGCAAAAAATCTTATCAGCATATTAACAAGAATGGCTCCCACGGTTGAAGATAATAATATTATTACTTACAACCATGCAGACTCTAAATAAGCATGTAATATGAGGGGTTACCAACGAATATTTGAAATGTATAGGGAGAGTAAGAACTCGCAGGGGAGCAGCCGCCTACCTTGTCCCTCCCGTAGTACCGCCTATGAAAATCAACTAATAAGATGAAATAAACCGTGAGTCAATAAAAATTAGTCGTGAACCGATGTACAGTTAATAACAGACTGGAACGAAATCGATAAAATTCAGTTCCGAATTGGGAATATTCTAAATCTTAACAGAAACCTCTGTAATAGTCAATACAACCTTATAATATATCAGTCTAGAATTTATAACTGAAATGAGATCAGTGTTAAGTTTGATTGAACTGAACGTTATTACGTATCTGATTATATTTCGCTTATGTTTACATACACTAATATTAATGTACTATTAGTGTTCACTAATAGACGAATATTGCACGTGCATCCATGGACGGATACAGGGAGTCACTGGGGGAAAGTGCTATCCCATTAGAAAAAAAAAAAACAATATTAAAAATAAAGTACATTTAGAAAAAAATAATAATAGATTATAAAAACGAATGTTTTCGTACACAAAAGGCGGGTGGAGGCATATCTAATCCCTTTTCCCGAGACACCTCTAGATACGTCTACGATCGGTTTTATCAGTGTATAACTTCTCCTACAAAAGGGCCCCGACCGCGAACGGACGCTGGATCCGTCCTCGCGCGTGTCAAAATCAAAAAAACTGTATATGAATATTTCTGAACGATCCTTCGAAGCGAATGCTGTTGCGTTAATCACGTTCGGTATTTCGTCGTGGAAAAATCCGAATCCCGTTTTTACGATCCCGTACGGATTTCGATGGGAAACGGTAAAACTTTCGCGCCCCCGTGAACGCTCGCCGCGGCCGGACCGGATTCGTTATAAACTTATAAGTTGATCTAACGTTCGAACTTGCCCAGTAAATCGTTCATGAACTCGCGGAACAATCGGGCGCACCGGCACCGGCGCTGTTTGGTGGTCGCAATCTTCGCGTACGCCATCGATACGACGCGGCGCACACGCGTGTTACGCAGGAGCCGCACCTCGGGACGATAACCGTAAGTTTTCGACCGGGACGACGACAACGGTGGTACCGGTAGTGGAATCGGTAATGAACAGTGTCATCGGTGTGAAAATATCCAAACGACCGGTCGCTAACCGTATCCATCATCTCGACGCCGTGGCAACGACGATCGCCCCTCCCCCTCCCACCTCCGCGCGCGACCGAAGATAAATAATAATAGTAATAATTGGAATCACGGTACGTCCGTGCGCCCGATCTGGCTGCACTGCCGGATGCCGCCCGGCGTGACGAAGCCCGTGAGCACGTCGTTCCCACAGCAACCGCCGACAGAACGCTACTCGAAGCTTGGGCTGTACGGTGTGCCGTGCTGCCCGCGACAACTGAACCTCGACTGACGCGTTACAGCTTCTTCCGTACGAGCGCATTTCGTTCGCACGTTTTCATCGCAGCAGTGGCCGAAGACCCGCGACACCAGGTAAATTCACGATTTCCGTTAATAATCATAGTTTTCACGAGGGTGTGAACAAAAAATAACAGGCGCCGTTCCTAAGTCGTTCGTGTTTATATATTTTTTTTCTTTTCGTTTTTATTCGGTTTTTCGCATTTCTATTCCGCCGCCGATCAACTGATTTATACTACGTGCGGTACGCGGTACGTTTAATCTGTGTGCACACCCGTTGTGTTCGGACGACGCGAAACCGGTTGATTTCGGACATTGAATATGGTCATAACGCACAACTTAGTATTTTAACGGCTTAACTTTTTAAATGTCGAATAAAACGAGGTGAACATTGATTTCACAGCGACGTGTATGTTCTTTGGAAATATTTTTTGTGTGTCCGAATAGCTGGTCTATAAAGTATTGGGAATCGAACGAAAAACGTATACTTAAGTGATACCGTTTTCCATTTTTATAGCTTTGGTTTGTATAAAAATAAAAAAATACCTGGTCGCCTTGTGAAATTTTACTAATCAAATATTTTTAATTATTTTGAAAATTAAGTTGCTGTATTTTGAATATGAATTGAATATGAGTTTCATTTGTATATTACATAGAAGAAAAAAAATGTAATAATAATGATTAAGAATTAAAAAATTGATTTATCACATGATTACATATTATAATTTTGTTTTGAATTAAAAAATACTGTAGTTACTAGTCAATAAATCAAGTCATAGTGATTATTAATAATTAATTATTATGTATCATATTTTGATTAACTAAAATCAACACTTTTACTTTATTCAAAATTATACAAGAACATTTTAATTAAAATAAAATACATAATATTGAAGAAGTGTAACCAAGTTTTGTTTTACAAAAATATAGTCACATAATTAAATAATTTATTTTTATTTTTATGACATACATGATAAGTACACCAGTTTGGTATTGATATGCGATTCAATTGTTTTATCCTAAATGTTATAATTTCAAAAGTAATCGTTTGAATGAGACTTGTATATAATTTTGAAATTAATTCCATGAAGTTATAATAATAACTATTATATATAAATAATAACTATTTAATTTGTATTAATAATAATAATAATCAACCAATATTGATATACATAATGATATATTCTTATTTATATCATCAACGAAGTTGATTTATTTCGGTTATTCGGTTTTTTTGTTTTATTAATAACGGAATGTTTTCAATTATTTGGACTTTTTTTTCTCAAAGAATCTGTCTTGAAATGCTCATAAAATACATAAATATCACACGTAACTAATGTGGAATATCAACGGATTGGACATGTCTTTATTTATTATTTTCACTGACGTATTGTCCGAGAAATATTTGTAAAGGGGTTATATTTTCATAGTACTCATGGATGTCATTAGAAATGTACTAGGGTGTCTATTGTCAATATTTATCATCAAATATACTGTCTGATATCATGTGGACGCTATTATCATAGAGTAATAATGTAACTCCTTACCAAAATAATAAAAAGTATTTTGAAAAGAATACATTTATACATTCGTTTGTGTAAAATATGAGCAATATAATATATAAGTATAATGTATAAGTCGGATTCTGAAACTTTCATTGTTTGTTATATAGGATCTTAAAGATATTGTATATTTTTTAGCATAAAGTATTCATTCATTAGGAAATCGCTATTATTTTATTGAATAGAATGTACTAAATCAAAAACTAACGTAAAAAAAGAAATAAGAATTCTTAATAAACGTTTATATTGTAAGCATATCATGGTTTTTTGATTAACATAATGTTCATTAAAATGGCAATATTGTATCAAAATAATATATTAATTATTGCAGTGAATAGTTTTATGATTAAATTCACAAATAATAAATATATTAAAGTATATTTAATAAGTCATAAGAGTTTATTTGATTAAGACTCTGAATGATTACTGATTATTAATTATAATTTATGTTGATCTTTTATAAAAAAATACATTTTTATAAACAAAAAACATTTCATACGAATACAATTACTTTTACTGTGTTTGAATATAATTTAGATGTTGATATATATATTTATTTTTGATTTGTTATTTGCGATGTACTTATAATATGAGTATATAATTTATATACTAGTGCATACAGTTATCAGTATTCTTAAAATAGTGCTTAGTTGGTGTTATATATATGTGTGTATGCATTTATACCCTATTTTTGAGAGTAAAAAACTAAAGGAGCGTATATTTGGATATTTGAATAGTTTGATAATCGAAAGTAAAAATGTTTGTACATGATGAGGATAATTTTTCTAAAATTTTAATTTTTAGATATAAAAGAAAAGCATATATGATTTGAAACGTAGAGTTAAGTAACGTTAACGTTAAGTAGATTTGAATATTATGAGTAATCGACTAAATTATTTAAATTTTTGTTTTAGTTTTGGTAGCAACTAACAGTTGGATATTTAGGCGTTAAAAGAGTTTTTTTTTTTAAAAGTGATTTAGTTATTAAATGAACTTTCAAATATTTACCAAAAAAGTAATTATGATATTGGCTTCTAGTTTAGACGGAGTAGTTTATTTTTTTATATTGTTCGGCCGCATTTAATGTTGATATAATATTTTTTATATTATTTTATTTAATAAATTAACAGACAGTTTTATAGTAATTTCATATAATGATAATGAAAAAAAAAAAAAAAAAAAAAATGGAAACGTATTTAAATATTAAACTCAAATAACGAGAATAAGAAGATTTTGGTATAATCGATTATTTAAAGACATACTATATAAAGATATACTATACTCTTTTATACCATTGGTTACATCAATGTAAAGCTGTATAGGTAGATTATTGAGTAAGAATTCTATATTTTGTGATATTATTCGTGTATATAAAGATATAACGTGTAAGCCTAGTTAAAGACTGAATAAAGTACTTAACCGTTTTATAATTAGAATATGGTATTTAACCATCGCAGTGATCACTGATGGTTTTATGAGACTTTTATAGTTAAACTATGTCGCTTGAATCTGAACAAGTTTCTTTAGGGTCTTATAAACCTTGAGTAGGCAGAATTTTCGAATCATTATCCTTCAATATTCCTAAAGATGCTAATGTTTTCTAAAAGTATATTTCATATAAGTTTAACTTATAAATATTCAAATTTAAAATTTTATTATAGCTAATGCTATTATGTATGTATTAAAAGTATGAACATATTACAGTTGTTACATTTTTTGGACGTGTAACTTATATATAATTGTATAATTATAATTATTTTTTATTTTTGCTATAATTCGCGTCGATTAGTATTTCTAGTATTACACCTTTAAAAACTTTAAGTTTAATTAGAACACTTAAATATAATATGATATTTATATATAGAAATAGCAAAAATATGCCGTATATTATATTGTTCTTTAATTAGAAATAATTTATTTAAGAAAAATCAAATCAACTTTTTAAGATATTGTGGAAAAATATTAGGTAGTTTAACACATACTTGTTAAATCTTTAGCATTTGTTAGACGTACAGAGAGATCCAAGATTCATCTTTGAGACTGAGAAGGACAAAAGTAATTAATTATATAATAAACAAAGTTATATAACTTTTGTAGCATGCGAGGTCAGGAAGAGAAATAATGTAATCTATACAAACAATTATAATCCAATTTTACCGAATTAGTCATAATTGACGTTATTAATTTGTTATTGTTTATATTCATTAAACTTCATAGTATAATATAGTTTCCTTTATATTTAATTAACTCTAACAAGCTGAACAACACAATAAAAATTTTAATTTATCCAACTACTTCGGTGTATTGGTACCTATTTCATGAATATCATGCTAATTAATAAGCTTTTAAAAACCGTACGATGTCTACATAAAATTTCAAAAAATATTGTGCAATGCTGCCTCACTATGAATGGCCAATTTTGTTTTAAATCAATTCTTACATAGCACTCATTTTTAATGTAGTTATTTGTTATTTTTTTCAAGTTTATTAAAATTCAAACGTATATTATTATAAAATGTGACTATATTATTATTAAGTGACTTGAAATAAGTGTATATTTGTAAATACACATATATATATATATATTAGGGTGGTCCTTAGTTATAGAAGAAGAAAAAGAAATTTGATTATTTATTTTGCTGGACCCCCCCTATTTTTTTATTATCATACAAGAATGAGTTGGGTAAAATTTGGATAAAATAACTTACCCCCTTCCCGTGCCACAAAGGGTAGAACAATTGCTGAAACAGATAATTTTACATTATTTGAGTTTTTTTTGTAAAATATAAAACTTACCAAAAAATTGTACTGAACCTTTTTTGTAGAAAAAAATATTTTCTATAAATAAGTTGTTTACAACATTTATTGTAAATCTATTACTTTCCAGAAAAAGTAGATAATAAAATATCGTTAGATATTTTATATTTTGATAATACAATTACAATGTAATACAATGATAATCGATTTGTTGATACTTATTATCGAAGTTTTAAAATATCATTAAGACTATTAGGTTATACTTATTTTATATATTGCTTTTATAATGTTTACCAATGTGTATTATTAACTCATTTGGCCGGGATTTGTTATTGATTATTACGATTTAATCAAAAAATATTTACTTATACATTTCTATTAGTTAATCAGTGAACATCTTACATTTCACACTAACTACAACATTGTGTTTTCATTTATATTCAGTTTTTAATTTTCTCTTGTGTTTATAACAATTTAAAAGTTGATTTATTAGTTAAAAATGCCATGACAAATGATTTATTTGATCGGTTCAATGAATAATCAAATTCTCGGTAGCAAACTGCCACAAACACTAAGAGATTGTATGAAAGTTTTATTTTTTAATATGCGAATAGTGAAAATTAATTTATCAGAAAGTGCCTATTTAGTGATCAATGAATGTACTATATTTTGGAAAAAAGCCCGAATTCCAACTAAAGATCGAGCAGATTGTATGAAAAAATTAAAAAAATCATATGAAGTTTGGAGAAGTCTTGAAAAACGTAAAAAACGAGAAAGTGAAACATTCAAGTTCCAAGTAAAAGAGTTTGAACAATCTTTAGACAATTTATTTGATATTGCACACGCAAATGCATTTGATATTATGAAAATCGACATCGACAAAGAATTTTTACGTTCTCAAAGAAAGCCAGGTCGTCCAGGTTGTTTGCTTGGAGTTGACATGAAGTTATCACAAAAAGAAAAAAGAAAAAAAATTAGGATAAATCAAGAGAAAACAAAACGAAAAAAATATGAAAATGAACTTTCAAACATAGAAATGGGTAATTATCTAATTTTAAATTATGAAAAACAAATTATAATGTTACGTTTTTATATTATATGGTTGCACTACAAGTTTCTATTATTATATTATAGTTGAAACTCTTGAATTTACCACTTCAGAAGAAGAGGAGGAGAAGAAAGAGGATGGAGGTAGTATGGTCTTAGAGGAAGACCATAGACCATGTACATCTGGAATTCAAAGAGCAACCAAAGAAATTATGACACCAAGGCTTTCTGCCGCTTTAGACAAATGTAAGGTCAGTGATAGAGACGCTGTACATTTACTAACAGCATGCGTAGAAAGTGTTTCTTTAAATCCATCTGATTATATTATCAATCGAACATCTATAAAAAAATGCCGTGAAATTTTTCGTAAAAAAGTTGCCGAAAAAGTTCATTCCGATTTTTGTACTTTAAATATTGATTTCGTTATCGTACATTGGGATACAAAATTACTTCCCAATTTGTCTGGCCAAGAAAAAGTTGACCGTCTTCCAGTAATTGCTTCATCTCCTAATGTAGAACAACTTCTTGGAGTTCCACAAATTCCATCAGGTACGGGTAGTGAAATATCATCAGCTGTTTATGATTCATTGGAAAAGTGGTTATTACTTGATAAGGTTCAAGATTTTGTGTTTGATACTACTGCTTCAAATACTGGTAGACTAAATGGGGCTTCTACACTTTTAGAGCAGCGATTAAGTAGAGACATTCTATTTTTAGCATGTAGGCATCACGTTTCAGAGTTGATTATGCAAGCTGCTTTTAACGAAGCGAAATTGCACGTATCATCTGGACCAGATATAGCTATTTTTAAACTCTTTAAAAATGCATGGAAAAATATAAATAAAACAAATATATTAGTTTGGAATACAGATAAATATTTTGAAAAGATAATTTCGCCAAAACGTGAAGAAGTTTTATCATTTTGCTTTCAAAAAATTACTGAAGACCACCCTAGGGATGATTACAAAGAATTTATTGAACTAGTCATAATTGTTTTTGGAGATATTCCACCTGGTGGATTAAAAATTCGCCAACCCGGTGCATATCATCAGGCAAGGTGAATGGCAAAATGTATTTATTGTCTTAAGATATTTTTACTACGGTCTGAATTCAAAATAACAAAATCAGAAGAAAATATAAAGCGAATTTGTGCATTTATTGTTAAAATTTATATTAAATATTGGTGTACAGTTACGAATGTGATAGAAGCTCCATTAAATGACATACATTTAATTCGTTCATTAAATGAATATAAAAAAGATGTTAAAAAAATTTCAGAAGCATATTTGTCAAAATTTTTAAATCATTTGTGTATTTGAATGAAGAATGTGTAGCGTTCAGTATATTCGATGAAAGAATTTCAATAGAAACCCGAAAAAAAAAAAATGGCCAGTAAGCTCATTGAATATAAAGAATTTACTCCGGAAGTGGAAGGAGAATTTTCCCAGGATATATTATCAGGACAAAAAAAGTTTTCCTTAAAGATAGAAGACGTGGATGAATTTTTAGATAAAGAACTACCTATCAATTTGTTAAGTTGGAAATCAAATAAATTATTTAAAAGATTTAAAATTTCTTCAGAGTACCTAAAAATGGATCCTATAGAGTGGAATAATAATTCTGCTTACCAGTCAGCAAAAAAAGTTATAAGTTCGTTACAAATTGTAAATGACATTGCAGAGAGAGGGATGAAACTCATGGAGGATTTTAAAGAAAAGTTCACCAAAAATGAAAACCAAAAACAATATTTGCTTCAAGTAAGTTATGAAAATATATTAAGTATAATGATTGATTTTCTATAAAGTATTTAATTTTAGGTTATTCAAAAATACAGAAAAAGTATCAAAAACAAACAAGAATAGCTTTGAGCGCACCATTTATAGATGAAAGTACCAATACCGATTGAAATACACTTGTTATTATTTGAATGTACAAATAATAATACATTTTAGATATATCATGAACTTTTTAGTAGGAAACTAAGTTTTTTTTAGAAAACTTAAAGACGCATAAGTTATGTACCAGTTTTCAAATAAAATTCAAAAAACTATAACATTTTCTCGTTCAGCTATTTTTCAACCCTTTTGTGGCACGGGAAGAGGGTGAGTTATCTTGACCAAATTTTACCCGAAATACTTTTTTATGGTAATAAAAGAAATAGAGGGGTCCAGCAAATAAATTTCAAACATTCAAAAATAAGGACCACCCTAATATATATATAGTTGAAAGTTTTAAATGCGTTTCATGCAAACTAATAATTATTGTATATTTTTATAATCTAAAAAGATTTTACATTTATCTTTTATTTTTTTTTTTTGTTATTTTAAAGTTTTCCTGATATAGCCATCTAAGTTATTTGTTATTTATAAAATACAACTTTTAATGTTAGAAAAATATATGACAATTTAAAATAAATATAATATAAATAGAGATTATGATGATAATAATAATAATAATATTTGCAATATAATTAAAATAACATTAACAATGCCTTAGTGCATTAGTTCCGAAACATTTACGAAAACTGATCCCTTAAAAAATAGTTTGTGTTACGTGAAACCATAATGATTCTTACTTCAATATAACCCCAATTTTTCAATTATTTATTGAAAATCAATATTCCAAAAAATGTTTTAAATGTAACTCATGATTATTGTTTATTACTATTAAAACTTTCAATATTTATATACATTCTATAGAACTATTGAGATTGTTGCTCTCTTAGATTCTGTGTAACATATTTTTGAAACCGCTGCCCTTATGGAAATAATGTATCAGTGGTTAATTAACAGATTAATGAAATAATATTAATTAACTATAAAATTAGTTAGATATTAAATATTTTATAAATAAAACGATCGCCTGGATCTCCCTGCTTTAATAGACGTATTTATAAAATGTAGAGTTTCTTCTATTGTATTTATACAGTGAATTTGATTTTAATTAGTAGTATATCGGGAAATAAATGATAATAATTACTTCGATCAATTTAGACTGTGAACATTAAGTAACTGCAAATCCTGAAAAGTTTGTCGTATTCAACAGATTTCTGTAATGTTAGTTTTCAAACGAATTCATTTAATGTTGTAAATGTCCTTCAGTTTGCGGAGTAGTTGTTCTTATGTTCTTGATAGAGTATACTTCCGTCGAACGCGATATTTGTTAGTTTTTATTTTACAACCCTACTGGCCTTTGTTCCATTATAAGTTGAGAGATAAGTGTAAATGATTTAAAAAGGTATTGTAAAAATCTATGTTTTGAGAGAGTTAAATATTAGTCGAAAAAAAAAAATGTAATTATTGAGTTTTATGACAGTTTATTTAATTAATTTATAGCTTAAAAATATTGTTTTTGATCATAAATCCACCAAAAATATTTCCAGTTTAGAACTCAAAAACCAAAAAATTATTATTAATTATTAAATTTATAATTTACGGGTTATGATTTAAATCGATAACTTGAGTAACCCGTACTTAATTAATAATAGTTATCGATATTTAAACGTCAGATAGATTATAAAAATTAATAATGATTGTTTTTTGGAGTAAATTTTAGAGGAAAGTACCCTTAAAACCATAATATATTAAAAAAGAGTAATGAAAAATGTTGATGAATATGTTATTATCAATAAAAATAAAAATATAATACCTATAAATACAATAATATAAAAAAAAGGTCAAAAACATATTGTTGAAAATAAAATATTTCCTGGAAAAATAATAAATCGAAAAAATACATAGGTAGGTACTAAATGAACATCAAAAATGGATAGAATTATTTAAAATTGATGCATATGTATTGAAGATATTAAAATGATTCTGAATTTATATACTTGACCGAAAAATGGACAGGAAAAATGTTTTTGAACAAAACCACGTAGTAGTAAGGTAGACCTTGAAAATTGCATGACGACAATCTCCTAACCATATGTCGTACCCATAACGTTACCAGGACAACGACATTATTAGCATCGCTATTTTATTTATTTATGAAAGGTAATTTTAATACATGAAACAAAACTCCCTGTAGTTTATTGGAATCAAGGAGAAATATTTACATGTTCAATACTGCGTTTTGCTTTGATATAAGAAGAAAAAACACTTTGCTTGTGATGTGCTTAAGAAATCAGTTTCTTCTACAGTGACCACCGATCACGATCGCATGGTTTAAAATAATATTATACCATAAGAAAACAAAGTTAATTATGAAATGCTCTATCGTCAGTAATTCATGTACTTCCTTTTTTATTCGTTTTATTTTATTTATTTGTATGAATTAATAAAATTCGAGTTTTTGAAAACCGTAACATACAATATATAAAACAAATTTATTCATCTGTAATAGTATTACAAACTGTTTGTAATTATTATAAATAATGGAAAAATTCTTTTATAAATATATTTTAGAATTTGAAGGATCTTATGTATATCGAAACATGTAGCCATAAAAGACTTTAGATAAGTTCAATCGTTATGAAAAAATGAGTATAAATGAATGAAATTCATGGTGGTCATTTGATGACATTGGTATGACTAAAAGTTAATGTTAGGTCGATGACAACAATGACTGTCGTATACATTATTAAGATTAGATTAGATTAGGAAATATACATAGGTAAATTCTGAGATTTCAAATTTTACAGAGGAAGGTCAACTATTATAAATATAATATCGGTTAAAACCATTTGTCCTTTTCATGATCAAGAAGTGAAAAGAGGTAAATAAGAACACTTGGAAGTTTAATTAGTGTTCTCTAAAGATTGGTATGCATAAAATGGTTATTTTTTTATAAATATATTTTAGAATTTGAAGGATCTTATGTAATTTTGAATATTTTACTATATATTATAAAATCTATAAAAATATTATTATTTGATATAAATATTGAAGGGAAAAAATATTCTAATACATTTTAAAAACGTATTTTAGTACACTTTGTTTAAAAAATAACTAAAAAATTACGAGTATTACTTTAAATAATTAAAATTTTATTTCTTGGTATAGTTGTAACTGTTAAATCGGTTGTTAAGATTATAGATTTCCTAAGATTCACTTGTGGCTACATTAGGGTGACTATTATCAAAAAAAAAAAACAGAACAGTTGTTATTCCCCTCCCAGAAAAAAAAATTACACATCAAAACAACTATAATAACTACAAATATAATACAATTTTTTTTAAAATTAGAAGACTGCTTTTTACTAACAATTAAGTAATTTAATTTTTATTATTGAAGAATTTAATAATAAGTATATTGTTACACATCATTACTGATTCATTTTTTCAACTTTAAAAAAAAAAAAAAAAGGGTATTAGCTATCTTTTTTATTCATGAATTTGATAATCTTTTTTATACATTTTTTCGTACTTTTCTGAAGAATTTATTGAATATAACAAGTTTTGATGTTTCAAAAGAAATTCATAAAATTGTGATTAAGTTAAATTTTTAAAGTGCTGTTTCGCAATAATTATTGATCTTATGGTTTCGATATGTATATAGTTAATAGTTTGCGGTATAAAACTATTTTATATTTATTAAAAAAAATTACATTTTTTCTCTTTTAATAATATAAAAAAACGGTATTAAAACTAGGTTATTTTCTAACAACGGGATAAAAAACGTCTCGTTTAAATTTTGTTTATATTTTGTCAGGATAACGGAACATGATTATCAAAAAAAGTAGCAGTCCCGTTTTAAATGTAACGTATGGTCATCCTAGGCTAGGCTACTTATATGTACATACCCCTCAATCAGGATAAAGTAATTTGTTCATATAATAATAATAATATCATTTATTACGGAATAATTTCCAATTAAAGATACAAGATAGTTGGAATATATTATATGTATAATAAAATATATAATAATAATATATAAATATTTATATAATAATAAAATAAGAAATATATTATTCATCTTGACAGGCAACGATAGGTGAAGAGTAGTTTCCAATGTTTTAATTTTTCGTTAGAGATCATGAGAATGATTCATGAGTAAATTGAATGAGGAATGAATATATATTTCACAGGCAAGAAGCCCCCCATGAGCGGTTTTCCCATATTGACAACACGACACTATGAATCAATATATAAATGTGCATTCTATATATTTTTCGCCTCGACTGGCAGTGTGTGGTAATGAGAGCAATATTACTGTAAATTGTTACTATTCCCTACTAATACTGCTGCTGTTGCAATGATTATGATGATATATTAACATGAAA